TTACTGTATTTAGTTATAGGTTTAATTTTAATTACATATAATTTTAAAAAATAAAATAAACGTCCTCAGAAAATTATAATATAAACAGAATGCATTGAAGAACCATTTTTAAAATTTAATCTCAATAAATACACATTCAACCACATCAGCATCTACAACTTCTATTTATAAAAATACCTCAACCACAATCCATAGTTGTATTGGAGATGTTCTAACAACAACCTTGTCAGTGAGCTTCTATTCTAACAATTATTGGATGGAGTTTGTGTTTATTATAAAAATTAAATTCAGTGCTATAGTTAATAAATTTTTTTAAAAAAAGTTGACTAAAATTTGAAAAAGACAAAAAAAAAATTCACACTTTTTTTGTTACTAGTGTTTTGTATTGACAATACTCGTTATATACTCATTTTTTTTTATCTATATATATATATATATCATAAGTTTTGTTTAGATTAAAATAAATATAAGTGGCTAATTTGTATTGTATTTTGCTGTACAAATTACTTGCAATGTTACTTATTATGTACTTAATTCTATTTTTATATAATGAAGTGATCTTAGAATGAAGTTTAACTCAATCTTTAGACCTAATTCTTTAGTTCATAATTTATAAATGCAAATTTTTAAAACCCTAATAGGTACTCAAAAAGAAAATCAAGTCATCACTCAATCTCCAACCCCCCCTACTCTCAATCCTAAATCAATATCTGTATACAATTATAATGAAAAATAATAATAAATTATTTTTACTACTAGGTCAAAGAAAAGAAAATGAGAAAATGATCTGAATTGATAGTGGAAATCACTTTGACCACAATGCATTATTATTTACACAATGTATCAGACAAAAGAATATATGCACATACATACAGATTCTTGAATATATGCACATACAATACAGATTCTTGAAATCCAAAAAGTGACCAAAACAAAAATATATAGTTTTTTTTTTTCCAATTCCTAAACCACTATTTTGTTTTAAGTCCAAAATAGATTTAGGATATAAGACGTAAAAAAATATCAGAAAATTAAAAATATTTTAACTCAAACCATCAATAGGCCATCTATTTATTGCAAGGGAGATATAAATCTCTTACTAAATTAAAATGATAGTAGTTACAAATTATTCAATAACGAAAAAACTAAAAATTTATAATTAAGAATAAAACTCTTTCACAACTCGCCTAACAAAAACATCGTTTCATATGTATATAGATATATAAATATCAATAAAATATTATATATATTTTTTAAAATTAAAATTTCAATTGTTTACCCTCTCATGTTTAATTATGTAAATTCTATTTGAAAATTTACTTTTTAAAATAATATATCCAATCAAATATAACAAACATAAAAAATAAAAATATTAATAAAAATAATATACTTTTTTCTTATTTTTTATCTCTCTCCTAACTAAAATATTATATTATATACTATCTCCAACGCATTTTATTTGCATGGTTTGAAAAAACACACATATTACGAATTTAGTCAATAAAAGTTATCGTGTCATTCTTTATCTTTATTAACTCATTAAGATACTAGAAGCTCTTCATTCAATGAATAATTATAAAATTTATTATGAAAAAATAATTGTTTACATATATAAATTTAGAAACTTTGCAAACATTTTGGGATATCCAGAAAAGGAATAATAAGTAAACAAAATGAGACAAAAAGAATATATTCTATTTGAAAATTTATTTTTTAAAAATATATCCAATCATATTACAAACATAAAGAAAAAAAATATTAATAAAAAAAGTATATTTTCTTTTTTTATCTATATCTTAAAAGCATGAAATATTTAATAATGTAATATAAAAAATGTCTCATTATCATATATATTCATTATTAAAAATAAAATTTAAATTTAGTAAATATAAAAATTAAAATTTGAAATGCTTAATTAAATATATGTATTTATTCAAAAAGATTATTATTTTGATTCATTAGAAAGCCTGATGGTGGAAATAATACTGCGAACTAAAAAATAATCAAATTGATAACTCATCTAATAAAAAAAAACGTTTCAATGTATATAAATATATAAATCCATCAATAAAATATTATTTTTTAAAAAAATTAAAATTTTTAACTATTTACCATCCAGGTTTAATTATGTAAATTTTAATTGAAAATTTGCTTTTTAAAAAATTTATCCAATCAAATCTTACAAACATAAAAAAACATTAATGAAAATAATATACTTTTTTCTTTTTTTTTTATCTCTCTCCTTATTTGAATATTTATTTTTTTTAAAAAAATATCCAATCGTATCATACAAACATAAAGAAAAAAATATCTTCTTTCTTTTTATATATATATATTTCCGAAAAGAATTAAATATTTAATAAATAAAATATAAAAAATTTTCAAATCTCTCATTATCATATATTCATTAAAAATAAATTTAATAAACATAAAACTTAAAATTTTAAAATGCTTAATTTATTTAAAAAATAAACACTTGTAGTTGAGAGAATTCGAACTCGAGACCTCTCACTTCTCACATGAGTGAAATTCGAACTCGAGACCTCTCACTTCTCACATGAGTGAAAAGATAATCAGACCGTACATGATTGGCTGAAAAAAAATAATTTTTATACATTATGTCCAATCAACTAATAAATTATAATTTTTTAATTGGCTGTCATTAAGGGTACTTTAAAATATTTTAAATTTTATTAAAAGTGATATAGAAAATTACATTATTTCACTCTATTCCCATTTTATATATAATATATATAGATATAGATTACCCTTAAATAAATCAATAAAGAATTCGGTGCTTACCCCGTCCAAGCCATGACCTCTTTCTACCGAAGTCCATTTCTAGAGACATTTAAATCGAATAAATTCATAGAAATTGATTTGAAGAGAATAAAATAGATCTGTTGGGGTTTTTTTGTTTATAGTTTTTTTTTAATTTTATTTTATAGAATTGTAGAATATATTGATTTTTTTTAATGAAGTTCATAGTTCTAGATAAGAAAGGTAGCTGACAAGTTTGATTAAAATAACTAGTAATCTATCTATATTCAGAAACAAAGAGAAAATTTGTAAACGCTTCATGAATTTTATTTTTCTTTATTGACAAATTTTTTGAATTTAATTCTTAGTTTACTTACATTTGAGTGGATATTAATATTTTTGTAAAATCTGTTGACAAAATCTGTATTATTTATATAAGACTTTTAAAATTTAAATATAAATAATACTAATCATTATCCATTCTACTTACTTTCTATTTAAGAAAGACCCGGCAAAAGGTATTTCGTGATTCAGTACTCGATTAACTCGGGGAAAATTACTCAGTTACTCGATTGCATTTTTAGCAATAATATTAACACTAGTGGTTCTTTTGCTTATAAAATCAAATTAAATTTTCACATGGCTGAGGCTATATGGCGAAGGAGACCGGTTCAAAACCTAGGGTTGCGAATCTTCTTTTCCATGAAACTTTAAGCACCTCCCTCTCTTTCCATGTTGTTGAATTTTTAGAGGTTTGCTCATGTGGGAATTTCAAATCTTAATTATTTTGTTGCATTCATCTATTTTAATTTATATGCAAGTATCAATTTAGCTGCTATATGGGCGGTTAGTTGCTCTGAAGTGTAAAAACGACATTTTTGGTAGCTGCTGATATGGGAGGTTAGTTGCAATACTGTTGTTTTTTTTTTTTTTTTTTACCACAATCGTTCGATAAGTTCATAACCGACTATCTAGATTAGCGCTGGGACAAATTTTTTTTTTTTTTTTTTTACCATTCAATGTTCGAAGTTCATTAACCCGACTAATCTAGATTAGCGCTGGACAAATCCATAAATGGAGTACAACGCTCATTTTCTATATTTTAAAAAAATTTCATATGTAAAACTTGAACTTGAGACTTCCGAACAGAAATCGGTTTACTTTCTAATAATGCTGATTTTGTAAACGTTTTTTGTTTCAAAATTTTTGAATTTAATCTAATCTGATTTATATATATCTCCATCTACTATAATCATAAGAAGAAGACATCCATTTTACCTAGTTTCTTTTTTTCTTTTAATTTTTATTCATTTGACCAATTGATCAAATATTACGGTTTCGCCCTATTATATGGTATTTATTAAGATTATAACACAATGGTTTCAATCATTTTGTTAATTGTTTAGGTTTGTTTGTTCGGCTATAAAATTATTAATTTATTTCATGTGCAACTAAAAAGTAGGAGATTCATTGTTAATTGTATTTGTGATTTTTTAGATGAATTCTCAAGACCATTATACCATCTCCCATCATCCAATTCATATGAATTCTTAGAATTTAAATATGGTGATAATTTAAATTGTGAATTTCAAGTTTTTTTAATTAATATATTAAAAATAGCTTGAGTCTTTATGCTCACAATGAAAAAATATATCAATTAAAATTTTCAATTTAATGCTAAGTGCGAATTTACGACTAGTTACAATATATTTTTAATATCCAATATTTAGTCGGTATTTTCTACGTAAATATATATGGGTATACATACAATTATACTTATGATGTTTGGATTTTTATAATTTTTTTTAGTGTCCGAATAAAATAAATTTGCAATTAAGTATTTGAAAATATTATTTTATTTAAAAAATTAAAATGGATGATTTTACTCGATATAAAACATTCATTGGCTTCATTTTTTACTTTTCATTTTTTTAAATTTTGTCTTAATATCTCTGTCTTAAAAATAATTTTTAATTTTCTTCTAATTTAGAAATAATATGAAACAATAAGAAATAGGAAAAAAAATGTAATAACGTAGCAAAATATATAAAGTAAAAATTCATCATGATTTATTGATGAAAAGATTCAGCAAAAATGTATTAAATTGTATAAAAAACATTTATACAGATGCTTGATTTCTTTTTTTCTATACGTTAAAATAAAAAATTTTAAAAAATTTAGACATAAAATTTTCAATTAATCCATAAATAACAGAATGACTGATCATGGATAATGACGTGTCCTCCATCTTTCTTCTCCTCGCATCACAACAAAGCCCACCTTATTACACACACTCACTCTCTCTCTCTAACACAGAGCTTGCTAAAGCTGCAATTCCTAGCTCTTAGGGTTTCTTTTCCTCTCCTCTCCTCTCCTCTCCTCTCCAAACAGGCTGGAACTTTCTTAATCCTTACACACGTTTCCACATTTCACCTCCTTTGTCGTCCCTTTCTGTTCTACCTTCAAAGCAAATCCATAACCAACCGATTCATGGCCAAAACTAAACCAGGCAAAAAAGACCTCGATTCTTACACTATCAAAGGCACCAACAAAATTGTTCGACGTATATACTTCCTCCTTTAACTCTCCATCCTTTTCCCTTTTTGGTTATGGGATTCCATGAATTTTTCATTTAAATTCGTTTCCTCTTAAAACCCGATTTTGAAAATCTTTCCCTTTTATATCATATCATGTTTTGAAAATTCGTTAATTTTTCTGTTTTGTTGATTAGTTTTGCGTTTTTGCTTTTCTTTTCTGTCATTTGTTACGTTTGGGTTATTTCATATTTGTTTGTTCGTTTTGGTCTCTTTTCAAAATCCAAAATTTTGTTTTATTTTTTTTTAAATTTCCGTTTTGATTATTCGGTTTTGGGTTTATTTTGAAGTTTTATTTGTTATTGCAGCTGGGGACTGTGTGTTAATGCGTCCTTCGGACTCAGATAAGCCTCCTTATGTTGCTCGTGTTGAGAAAATTGAGGCTGATCATCGCAACAACGTCAAAGTCCGTGTCCGGTGGTATTATCGGCCAGAGGAGTCAATCGGTGGTCGCCGCCAATTCCATGGTGCAAAAGAGCTCTTTCTATCGGACCATTATGACGTGCAAAGTGCACACACAATTGAAGGCAAGTGCACTGTGCACTCCTTCAAGAACTATACTAAGCTTGAAAATGTTGGAGCTGAGGATTACTTTTGTAGGTTTGAATACAAGGCTGCCACTGGTGGTTTCACCCCTGACCGTGTAGCCGTGTGAGTATTCTAATTCTTATGGTTTTTCTGTGATTGGTTGCGAATTTGTTTTTGTTGGTTTTAGGTATTGGATTAATTGGTACTTTTGATTGTTTTTTTTGTTCTCCTTTGAAGTTACTGTAAATGTGAGATGCCATACAATCCAGATGATCTAATGGTGCAGTGTGAGGGTTGCAAGGATTGGTAAATTTTCTTTCATATTCTCCTTTTATGACTAGAAGCATATTTCACTTGTTTTATCTACGTTTTTGTTTGTTGAAGCAACGCAGATTTTGATCTAGAGTGGACATTTCATTCTTTTGCTCTATTTCTTTCATGTTTCGTGGCAGTAGCTTCATTACCGTAACAGTATAATACTTGTAATAGCATCCCATGCACTTTTATCCTGTTTGTTTAGCTAGTTTGCGCTTTTGTTCATTTGGATTTGCCAATTTTATGGTATATGTAAATGTTTTGAAATATGCAATGAAGCTATCTAATCAGGTTGCACATTTAGATATGTGATATTCATTCAACTATTGCAGATAATATGTTCAGGACTCCTGTGAATCTTGTTGTGTTTCAGAAACACATTTCCATGAGAGTTAATTGTCTTCAGCAACGCATGTTGACATAGCCTGAATTTTGACAATTCCAATTTTGTTGATTGGAAATGAAATGCTTTTGTCTCCTAAAATTTTCCTATTTTGGTTAGTATTGGAACTTTACCTAAAGCATATTGAGGATTGCAAGATTATGGCTGCAAATGAGCCAATCAACTTGATGAGCTGTTTGATGCTGCCAAGGTCAGGGCATTTAATAAATGAGCGTAACTTGAAATGAGTGAACTTGCTTGCTTTAAGCTCATGAAATTCTACGGAAATTATGACCTTTTTAGTTCCATATAATGTGGTCCCTCAAGTTATGCAGTTTTAAACAATATTAAACATTATAAGCATGGTTAAGCATATTGAAAATCCTTCAAATTATTATTTGAGATTTTGTTGAATAAATTTTTGAACAATTTCATTTATAACTTTGTCTCTTGAGAAATTTTTTAGCTCCTTTCTGGCTTATTCAACAATCAACCCATTTGAACAGCATGGTTTGCACTTGACTTCTTTATAAAAGGAGACAAGCCTAGACTGCATACAAAAATCATTTCATAAACAAGCCAAATCTAATCATTCAAAAAATTGGCTCAACACATTCGTGGCCCTGTGCATGAATTTAATTGTGGTTGGCAAATCTTTGAGGTGTACATTGATTCATCCGGTTACAAATGGTGCATTTACATCTTCCTGATTGTCTAAATGGCATGCTAGTAAGTTTCCAAAAGACGTGTCAAATAATGGCTCCCCTTGAATTGCAATAATATCTTGTGTTTTGGCTTAGAACTTCATGAAGGTAGTGCTTTTATGAAACTAAAGTTATTCAATTTAACACAAACTTGCAGGCTCTATTAGCCATTTCTAGGCTGTAGATTATTTGTTCTGCACCAACTTCAGCAACTTGTAACACGTGGAGATAATCATTGAGCTGTCATGCTAGTAGGGTTTTGTCAAACTTTGCTCTTTTTTTTTTTTCTTCTTTTTTCTTCTTCCCACACATTTCCATGATCTATGCATGGTTTAACATGTGATTATTTGTAATTTTTCCTGTAGCTCCTCTCCTAATTTGTCCAAAGTCATTTCATTCAATAGTTGAATGGTTAAACCTTTGCATGGTTAACTTTTTATGGACTCCTCATGTTTCAGGTCCTCATAATCAATTATGTTGCATCCTTGCAGGACCTGCGGAGGGCATTCGTTTCAACCAAAATTTCTTTTGAAAAATTCTTTTCAAAATAATTTTCCTAAAATGATTGAAATACTTAGAATATCATATGAGAAAATCAAGATGGTTTTCATTCTTAATTTGATATCAACCACGGAATTGTCCTGGTATAATGCCTGGAGCATCCAAAGCAGGGATAAATCTTTTTCAAGTGCAATCAAACATGACTTAGACAGATTGTAAATCAACGCATTAACCATGTCTGAGGGCAAATGAGGGCTATATTCTAGTAACTTAATGTATCAAATTAAATCTTGAAGTGTGAAGAAACTTGAACATCACTTGAAATAACAGTGCTGGTTTGCATATCAACAAATTAGGACCTGAACCATTCTCTCTCTCTCTCTCTCTCTCTCTCTCTCTCTCTCTCTCTCTCGTGATTTATAATTATAATCATTAAGAATGGCTTTCAAACGATTGGTTATGGAAGATCATTAATCAGTGGAGGTGAAATCAGCAAACTTGAGTTGTAAATTGCTGCCTAGATTCGAAATGGTAAAATTTCTACTTAAAACGTGTTATCGTGATGGTTTTTGGGGATAGTTTAACTGAAAGGTCATCTTTAGACATTTATGTAACGTCAATTGCTTGCTATCGAATGGAGGCAAAAATCTTCTTGTTTTATTAGTGTTCTTTAGGATTGGGTAAAGTTCATATAGGTTCTTTTAGTTCTTTTGAATCAAGAGTCACCTTGTGTTTCTTGTCTGTCCAAGCTTGTTCAAAAATATAGAGATCGCTATAGTGTTCCATGAACAAAATTCTTTTATACGTATCCAAGCAACTGCACTGATGTCTTCTAGGGGGCACACCACAAGAAATCATCTGAATGGCCAGCAGAACTGTGTTGTGTTTTGTTTAAACATTTACTGCAATGCTCAATTTAGGATGTTATATACTACGCATCCATAGTTGTTTGAGATTGTCTTGTTCTGCTGTTGACTAAAATTGTGAAGGGGCATTTTCCGGTTACCAAGTGGGATAGAGTAACACATCCATCTAGCTGACCCCAACTTGTTGGGGAATAAATTTTAATCGAGTCACACAAACTTTCTAGGAATAAATAAATAAATCAAAAAACAACTTTGATGGTTGAGCTTTTAACTAATTGGGATGCACTTGTGAAATTATGAGATATCACATAACACTCCAGTATGATATTACAATTATTATGTATTCTGGGGTTTTTATTTTTGTACTTCAGCAATTATGCTGTAAGAACTCTGAAAAGTGGTTTTCCTGATACCTTTGCTGATATGTTGCAGGTTTCATCCTTCTTGTATGGGTATGACTATTGAAGAAGCCAAAAAGTTGGATCACTTTCTGTGTTCTGACTGTTCTTCTGATGAGGATGCAAAAAGATCTTTGAATGCATTCCCAGTATCACCATCTGTTGAGGCCAAGGTGAGTTTTGTGTTCCTAGAACAACTCTGGTTGTGGGTGGAGACTTTGGGCTGAATTTCTGTAATGTTGTTTTAGCAGTGTGAAGTCCATTGGCAACTAGTAATCAGTTTATGTGCATAATGTGATAGCATCTTTTCTTTTACCTGTTCCAATTGTTGTAGAATTCTTATATGATGGTAGCATGGGCAGTAAATTGCTAATTATTGAATAGCAGGGTGCCAAACCATATGTTATGACTAAGTTCAGGGAATTTTAGTAATTTATCCTTCTTAATATGCATGCAATAAATTTGCACAAAGTGAGATGTAGGAGAAATGGCTGGGAGGAAAATAGTTTGAGGTACAAGTGCTAGTTTTGAAGCATCATATGGGCCAAGGAAAAAGTAAAAAAGCTGTAGCTGATTGTGTTCTTGCTTACTAATTGCTGATTGTGATTCCATGAATTGCTTTATAAAGTCTCTCAATGGAATAGACTTGCATGGTAAACATCATGTGACTTTTCCCTATCAGATTCTGCCTTGGCCATCCTGTTGCTCTTACTGATACATTTGAAAATGCGGAGGAGTTTTTTTGCCTTTTCTTTCATGTTGAGTAGGCTGAACCCTGATATGGGCTAAATTGAACTATATCCAATTTATGTGGAATTAGGAATTGCCAACTTAATCTGATCAATTTCTTTTGGTAGATAAGCAAATATTTGTCTTAAGTAACATGTTGGTCCATGAACGGCATTGTTGCCAAACTGGTTGTATTACAATATGAAATTTAGATTATCTGTTCTCTGGTGGTTAGTTACTGTCTACTCTTTCAATAACAACATGCAGTTAACTAATACTCAAATGATGAGGGAATAGGGCCTTATTTGGATTTCTTTTTTAGGTTCCTAAGAAGCATGCTAGCTGATGCTACTTGCTGAGCAACTAAATCTATGTGGGTCTATTGGAGGGACAGATCTACAGTGGGGGCAGCTGCCCCCGCCTGGTCTTTTACATGTTAGTATATGGTGTTTTACATTTTAGTATGTATAATTACAATAATCTGAATTTTCTCCACTAACTTTTTACTTTCGGCCCCCACTAAATTATTATTTTTATCCATTGCCTCCGCTAACCAAATATTTCGGGTCTGTCCCTGGTCTATTGATTGAAGATAAAAGAGGGATATATCTGATAGATACATGCATTATCAGTGTTGATCATGGAATGTTGAATTAGATAGATTGATACATGATTAGTTGGTGTAAAGCTTTACATTTTAAACATGAGGCCCCTTTTGAAGTTGAATTGAGTGCCCTAGAATTGCAATTGAAGTCCTTAAATTCAGTTCAGCTGTTTGGTGCTCACTGAGATATAGCATTGCATTTCCTTGTCCAATCCCTCGGAATTGCAACATAACTACAGCAGACATTTTATAATTCAGAGGGGCAACTTCAAAATTGAAATTGTGAGCCTCTGGAATAGGTTGCTCAGCTCATGGCGATAACAACAACTAACAATATATATTAATATTAATTATTTCATAGTATGAATAATTTAATGCATTAAAATATTAATACAAATTATAAAATAATATATATAACATTAAAATTTAAAAAATTGTTATATTTATCTAATATTTTATTGGTTATTTACTTTATTTATTAATAAATGAACACTGTTAAAATATTAAATAATGCAAATAAAATAAAATATTATATTATTAAAAAATCCATTAGTTATTAAAATGTATACTTTATATATTTTAGTTATATATTATGTTTTACTTGTAATTATATGGGCTTGTATACCCTGTTGAGAAATTGGAAATTTTATTGCTATAGCTGGCTTCTTAAAGTGGCTTTTTGCATCAAGTCTTGATCATAATAAACTCATGTAGTAGTTCTTTTAAGTGTTTAAGCACCATACTCTTATCTATTATTATTATTGTTACTATTACTTTAGTAAACGTGTTATGGTTATCTTTTCTTTTTCTCCTTGAAAGACATAAATCTATGTCAAAAAAGTGCCAGTTTATTGTTATTTGGTATTCAATGGCTGGCATAAATATGAGCTTTCTATTAGCTTTAGCTTTTTAGATCTACGGGCGACTTACTCGATCTGGATGTTTTAATTACGAAGTATTTTAGTTTTCATCACACAAGGGTTTTCAGATGGATGCAGAAAATATATAACTTTCTGGTTGCATTCTTAAAGCATCAACGATCATTTTGAGTTCACTAACTCACATATGCATGATCTGTACAAGAATTTGACATGCTACTTTTACGCTAGTAGTCTTTCTTTAGCATTAAGTTCTTCATGCTTGAAGCAGTGTTATCACCAGGTGCACTAGGCGAGGTGAGGGATAGGCACCTGGTATATCTTCAGAAGAGGCAATATTATAACTGGGCGTTGCCTAGGCGCCAAGGTGTTGCAAGGCATAGTAATGTTCAGGCAAGCGCCTCAAATAGAAATTGCTACTCCCCATATTGATATTAAAATCTTAGGTTAACATTTAATAGAAAAAAAAAAGAAGCTAAAAGTGGCTGGAATATAGAAAGTTTGACAGCCATTTAATAATTAGGTCAAAAGTTAACACAAATCTGGAAAAAAAAAAAAAAAAAAAAAACAAAATCTGGAAAAAAAAAAAAAACAAAGTGGCTTGAAAATTGGAAACTTTGACAGCCACTAAATAAAACATCAAAGTGGCTGAAAATTGGAAACTTTGACAGCCACTAAATAAAAACATCAAAATCTAATCTAACCATTAGAAATAAGTATAACAAATATGGGAAAAAAAAAAGAAGAGAAAATGGCTTCAAATTGGAAAGCTTGACAGCCAATCAAAGAATTAGGTGAATAAAATCCAATAAATAGGAAAGGAAAGCACGTAGTTTCTGCTATATGAAAGAACATAACAGACTCAATGTAAAAAAGAAAATCCTTAGCAACTAGGATTTTAAGTTTACGTGACATAGTTTTGATTCTTATATATTCATCTAGAATTTCTAGATTATTTAATGTGCTTTTTGAAATTAATCTTTGGATGCAATAATTCTAATTCTAAATGCAAGATATAGTTTCGAACTTTTGATTTCTTTAACAATATATCTAGAATTTTAAATTATCTAATGCCTTTTGGAACCAATATAGAATTCTAAATTTTGAGTTGTCTAGAATTTTTAACCCTCATATCACTCGGGCGACCGCCTTGAGTGGCGCCTAGCGCCTCAGGCAATGGAGGACATTGTTGCCTCAACGGTGCCTAGTGCTTTTGAAACACTGGCTTGTAGGTCTGGGGATGGCATATCTGTTGTTTAGATCTAAAATTCTAAATGTCCATCTCCTCAAGTTGTGTGGAAGCAGAACATTGTTGTAGTCTTGTAATATTTGGGAGTTCTTAATATTCTGATTCTAGCTTTAGCTTTTCTTGCGTTTACTAGTTGCCTGTCCCACGGATTGTGGCTTCACCAACTTACATATAAATGAAATTGTCATCTGTACAAATATCTGACCTGGTACTTGCTGGCAGATTCTCTTTACATTTCTTTTCTTTTTTTTTTTAATTAAAATTTGTCTCCTGTTTCAGCTTGCAACAGTCTTCATTCCTATAGAGTTTGGGGTGGCATTTTGTCGTTAGGCATCTAAATGTCTATTTCTTTGATTTTTTTCTCTATTGTGTGGAAGGCAATAAATATTGCCAAAATCCTTGTATTCAGTGATAGAAAATTTTTATGTCTAAATCAATGATATTGCCAAAATACTATGACTAAATCCAACTGAATATCTATGATATATTTAACACTAAGACAGCATTGGCTAATTCCTTAAGTAATGTTTGGTTTGATGTGTATATGGGAATAGAATACAATTCCTGGAATAAGATTCCATTTTCTTCTTTATTTCACAAGGAAATTAATTTTGTTTTATGATATTTTTATATTTAAATTTTTTATGAAATGACAGTATACTTGTAAAAATCTTAAAAATTACCATCAAATTTTATTTACTTATTTTAAAAATAGACCTTGAATAGATTTTTTGCTTTAGACGTCTATTACCATTTTCTTTTCATTTCTAAGATCAACCCAATGTCCCTTTATGTGCCTTTTATTTTGGAGGATTTTACCTTGCGTCATTGTGCATTTTTTAAGTGTAAGTTATGGAACATTGCTAAATTGAAAAAAATAACATTTCAAGTGGTTACTAGTTTCATATGACAAAGATGGGAGCCACAATACATATATTTTTGAATGACATGTTTTTTTAAAGAAAAGCTAATGTATTTATATCAAATACTTCCAACCTAAGGAATTATTTTTGTTAGTATGGAGCCTGGAGAACAATTTCATGAATTCATTTACGTCATGTCTGGATCAAAAGAATGTGGAATTCATTTCATTTGTAATTCATTTCAAAACATTTGTGAAGTCAGCTATAGGCTTACTAATGTAAGATTTTATTTGTAAAATTTTATCGAATTTGATAAGATGGGATCAGGTGTAAAAAATTCCATGGATTTAACGGAGTAGAATTCCAAATAAAGTTCTAATTGGTACCAAATATTTACATGTGTGGATTTTCAAATGACTTGCAAAATCATGGAATTCATTCACACTGACAAGCAAATTGATCTTGATTAATTTGGTTATATTACTTGCCATAATGATTCTAATCGAGGGTTGGCTGTTTTTTTTTTTTTTTTTTTTCTAATCGAGGGTTGGCTGTTTTTTTTTTTTTTTTTTTTAAGTTTCTATCCTTTAGTTTTCTTAAAGATTTATTTATTTGTTTGCTAAGGTGGGAGACAAAGCGAAGGAAGAGATAACTGCTAATTAAATGTCATGGGGGAGGTTATTTTCTTGCACATTAGGCCTCAGTATGTTGTTCCTTTGCTTCTGTTGATTGTACAGTGCTGAGAAGATGTTAAGCTTTGCCCACAAACAAGAAGGCCTTTTTTTTTTTTTTTTTTTTATTTTATTATTATTTATCATTTTCTAGTGTTGTATGTGTGACTGGACTTAGAAGCTGGGTATTTGTACCCAGTAATGCCCTCATGAGTACTGTGCCAAAAATTGCACTTTATTATTTATGTGCCCATGATGACAATCAAACTGAATATCTAGAAATCCTTCAGATTTGTTGTGATATTGCTGTAACAGCATGCATGATTGTTACCTCTTTTTGTTATTTTCTTTTTCTACCTTCCATTTTAAGGGGTGAAGTTGGATTGAGGAGGCGGTGCGATGATTTGTTTTAAAATAAACAATTTTCTTAAGTAGGTCTCAGTGAATCCTACTTCCGCAGTGTCTGATCAACATCTAAGGGATTTTTATGTTTTGTATAGGAGGTTCTGAACTTTGGTTTACCTGTTCAGCATAGCTGATTAGGTGTGTGATTTCCTTTTTCGAATGGACATGCTCATGGCCTTTGTCAAGACAGCTTTTGCTGTGTTCATCGAGTTATTCCAAATATGTGTTCATTGAGTTATTCAAAACGGCCAGTTATTGATGGAATTGTTCCAGCTCTATGTAAAATATTCATTTTTGGACAAGGGCTTCCAAATATATCATAACAGCACGCAATTAGTAGGGATGGTATGGAAACGCTATGGATGACTCGAATATCGAGTATTGGTTATAATATCAGCTAATGAACATTTGTGTGTGCTTCCAAACATGCCCTGATGCTCTTGTTTCCCTTTTCTATGCATTGTTACTATGCAAATTTGTGGCTACTGGTTTTAACCTCGAATTGCTTAGTTAGTATCGTGAGATTCCCTCTAGGGACAAAGAGAGTTTGTAATATCTTCCTTTTTTCCATACCCATGATCAGAATGCTCGAAAATTAGGTTCTTTCATTAGGTTAAAAGTCATAGGGGGTGAAGTTTTGAGCAAATTCTATTGATAATGTTATCAGTGGAGCACTGGTTATGTTTACACAAGCTTTATGTTGCTATTGAAATTAAATATCAGTCTTCAGTAGTAGTTTTAAAAGCAGAAAAAGAGACTTCCCTTAAAAAAAAAGAAAAAGAAAAGAGAAAAAGCAGAAATTTGTGCTCACAAGGCGTGAAGCAAAGTATCTTGTTTTATTATGTCTGGTTATTTCACTGAATCCAGAGATGCAGGGTCTTCTTCTATGCTCTGAAACGAAATTGGAATTGATTGCTAAGGCTTTGGTTTAGATGTCAGCTCAGTTGGTTTTGGCGTGGCGAAGGGCTCACTAGCTTCGGTCTGGTCTTGTTTTGTATTTTCTTTTTCTCCCCAGTTTGAGATTGGAATCAGCATAGAATATCCGGTTCAATCGGTGTTTCCAGGTTGATTTCGGTCCCTAAACTTGAATTGATTCCTCCCAATTTTGGTGTGGATTAGATTGAATTTTTAGGTTCATTTTGGTCTAGATTTGTATTGTTTTGATTTCAAATTGGTTTTATTTTGAACTTTGGATTGGTGACTAGCTCTATTTTTCATCTTGATTTATAATATTAAATTATTTTAAATATAAAACAAAGAAATTTGTTTTTTTTTTTTTTTTTTTTTTTTTTTTTTTTTTTTTGTAAACAGTTGCTATCCGTACAAAGAAATTTTTTTTTTTTTTTTTTTTTTTGTAAACAGTTGATATCCGTACCCCCTTATTAGAGACTGTTTTATCCGGCTTTTCACATAAATGAAGAAATTTGTTAATGTTTTAAGATATACCATTTATCAGCGTCTAATTATTTTCATACACTTATATTTCGAATATATGGATGCTTCTACATTTTACTACTTTTGCCATGATAGTTGGATATTATACTACCCAAGTTACTTTATAGTAAATATAATATATATTTTCCAAGTTAGCAATTACATTTTTTTTTCTAAAAAAGTAAATTTGTAAGTTATCTTTATCTATTGTTCTCTAAAGTTAGGACTATTGATATTTATTAATATTAGGTTTCTTTTGTCAAATGTGCATTTTTTTTTTATCAAAATATGACCTTTTTTTAACATGTATAATTAATAAAAACAAAACAGCAGATGGATCAATATAATAATCTGGATTTCATTAGAAATATACGTCGTTTTATGTTGATTATTTATTTCAAAATACAAGTCATTTGAATATTTTAAGGAGTAATAAATGATGGTTTTTCGATGTTACTTTTATTCATATTAGATATAAAAACTATATTCACAAATTACCTTTAGTTTTGAAATAAAGAGTAATTTAGTTAAATTATCTTTGATTTTGTTATAATTTTATTTTGTTATAATTTAGGAGAATTAATTGTTTTTTTAATTTTCATATAAAATTCTTGAATAACTTATATTTTGGGACAGAAAGTAATTACCTTCACAAATTACCATTGGTTTTGAGACAAAGAATATCATTAATTTTATTATAATTTAAGAGAATTAATTATTTTTGACTTTTTATGCAAAATGTTGGACGAATTATATTTTGAAACAAATAAAGTGAAAAAATATAACTTTGGGGCATAGATCTATTCACAGAAAAGAGGCTCCTATTTGAGAAAGTACTATTTGAATTAATTATGATAGTATAATTTGTTTGGGTTTGTATTAATTATTACTAAAAAGATACGGATATACAATTAAGAATATAAAATTTTTGTAAAAAAAAAAAAAAAAAATTATCATATTCTCCTTAGAATTTGGTGTATTGCTAGGGTTTTTATTATCCTTTGAGGGATTGGGTTTATCGCTTTAGTTATAATCCATGTTTGATTAGGACTAATTACTATACTATATACGTTGAATGAGAATTTCTATTTCTTTTTTTCTCATAATAATATAGATGCTCTCTCTTCCTTTTGACTTAGGACTTAAAAGGTAGCAAAGCAAGTCAAACTTAGACTCATTCTTCCATTAAATACCTTATTAACATTTCCTCGAAATTCACTATGGTTGATGTGTCTAAGGAAGACAATTTCTATATTTGTCCCTATAATAATAGATATGTTATCAAGATAGTTAAATGAGATTCTCCGAAATTTGTTTAGATTACTCTCAATATAGATAGTTATTGTAAAAGGCATTTTGGTTTAGCTGGTGGAGGCGGGATCATCCATGACCATCTAGGGAGATTGAAGTCAGGTTTTGTAGCTAATATTGGCATTTGTTCAGCATTTTGGTAAAATTATTAGCGGTTTATAAAGGACTCCAATTGGCTTGGTTAAAAGGAAACCGTGAGTATAATACTTGCGCTAGTAATTTAGTGCAAGATTGTCGATCATTACTGTAGCAAGATTGGGAAGTGCAAGCTCGCCATGTGTTCGGGGAGGCGAATGCTGTTGCTGATCGTTTGTCGAACCTAGCGTTGTCTACTCTAATTGGGTTACACATTCTTGATTCTCCTCCACCAAAGACTTATTCACTCATTTTTTATGATAGTATGGGTATTAGTAGCACTCATCTTATCCCTATTTAGCATCTTGATTTTATTAGTGAAAGAGATGTCAGTCAATGACTATTTGAGAAAATAATTAACGGATTAAGAATATTCAATTTTATATAAAATGAAAATAATAATATTTAATTTACTCCAATATCTCAAATAATTGAGAAATAAGAAATGTTTAACTTACATAAAGGATTAAGATATATAAGTTGCTAAATCATTTTTAATACATGACTAAATTGTTAGAGGTAAACATAAAATATATGTTGTCTTCTATTTTTTTTTTCTAACATCTCTTCAATGTGATTTCGTTTTTTTTTTTTTTTTAAGCCAACAAAAATCTAATCTCTATGGAGTATTTATTTTTTTTTTTTTTTTTTTTTAAGCAACAAAGAATCTAATCTCTATCCAACAAAAATCTAATCTCTATGGAGTATAGTCATTGTATTTGTAAAATTTAACATTTCGTATTTTGTCAAAATGATAATACTATTTTCTCAAAATTATACATATGAAAAGTATTATTTTTTATATGATTCCTGTTATTGATTGAATTAGTTTCTATCTTTAGTAGAACAAAATTTCTATGTTTATATTGAGTTTATTGCTATAATATTAGAAGTCTTAGCAGATCACTTAACTAGATGTAAACACAATGTAACAAATAAAATCATAATTCATATAATTCATAAGCATTAACTTAAATGAAAAAAAAAAAATCATAATCATAATTTTCAGTTCAACTTGAACGAGAAAAGGCTTACGTGGGATATGAACCCACATCTTTTGTGCTGGTGTACAATACCTTAACTATTTGAGCCAAAAGGTGGTTTGATTTTACTCATTATACCTCAAATATATCTTATGATATTACCGTTTCTAAAATTTAATTTGTTATGTAAAAATATAAAAATTTTAATTGATATTACATAAAAGGGAATCTGTTAGATTTTCATTAGAGATCGGATAGAAAAGTGACATGTACATTTATAAAGCATTTTAAAAATTTAAAAGCCCCCACCTCAGCCCTTAAAACTTAAAAAACAATTGAAAAGTTAAAAATTAAAAAATAAGGATGCATGTGAGCTGAGGAGCCAGACGTGCGTTTAGATTTTAGTCTTACTACACCGGTTTGATCCTAGATTTGGATAGTGATAAGTCGTGAAAAAATAAAACTAACAAGTACTTAAGTTTTTGAATAAATGGTTTTCTTTAAATTTGATCTAGCCAACATTAAAAAAGACATTTGATAATATAATTAAGCCAATGAATTTCAATTTTATAGTAATATTTTGCTCTGTTTTTCATGTTTAAGTATATTTATTTCCATGTTAAAGGATAGATAATTATTGCATATTTTTTTAAAAGAAATCAAACTATAAATTTCATTAAAAGGAAACTGTTGAGTTTCAATATGAAAAATACGCAGCGAAATAAGATAATTATAACTAAATAATCAACAAGAATCCGTTTAAACGATTGCCCAAGGTAGGTTGTCAACTGATTTAAAGTAATAAAATTATTTAGAAGAATATCTCTTCTACATATTTTTCAAAACTTCGATTTATGCGGCTAGGTTGTTGCCAACCACAAGTCATCCAATTGTCTGGCCTCTAATAGTATCCATACAAACAGATAATCGAAAAACAATAAAACTATTTTAGAAGGCTGAGAGAATAGAAAGTATGGTAGAACTAATTATCTTACATTCTATGTTTGGTTTTGTGGCTATGAAGAACTTACATTTTTAAACTAT